GGAACTGAAATCAACCAAATAACCTCCCATTACTGCTTTTCTTGTCAGATCGTTCTATTTCCTGGAGGCTAAAAGAGATGGGCTGAACCCCTCTTTCTTTGGACCATGTCTCGGTGAAAGTTGAAGGGTACTGTTTTGTTTCTATAGAAGTATGGATTACGACGTATAAACATTTATAAAACATTTATAATCCGTGCCCTTGTTGTCTGCGTCAAATGCTATCGTTGCTCGCCCGCCAATCTCTCCCACTCTGTTTTTAGTTGTTGCTTGGGGAAATTGCGGTTTGGGCGCTAGCCATCAATTGCAGGTGGAAGCCAACTTGCAAAGATGGATAATTTGCCATTATCAAGTCACCTTTGACTTTAATTGACTGCGGAGAGGGTATTTCAACAGCAGGAAAAAGATAAATCCACCATGGATAACACAAGCATCAATCAACAGGAAGACAATGGACGCACCTGGGAGCACCCACCACATCCCCAAAGGTTTTTTTTGAAACAAGTCTATATGGTGATAATCAGAAGCTATGCAAAGTGTTTATTGATTGGTGTCAAGAAGGGATTTGTCCAGAACAGAATTATGCTGCAGGGGTTGTCTTTTGGAGAGCAAAAAAAAATCATTTGTTCGAAAAAAAATCATTGCAGAAATTTGCAATGATTGGTTGAGGACAGATGAATCTGAGTCCTTCTTTTGGGAATCTTTGGATTTGCCTAATTAAATAGTATCCTGGCTTCAAACAACGCATTGATCCATGGAATGAATCCCTCCGGTAACCGTATTGCCTGAATTCACACAACGTACCAAGCCCATTCTTAAGTTGATTATAGTTACCTCGGTTGCTGTTTGTATTTATTTTGTGGCTGTTTTTGCTGCATGAATGTCTTTTGATTGTTTTAAGAGGTTTTTTTAAAAAAATTAATTTTAGAATGGTAAGCCGCCCAGGGTCACTCGGTTGAGCTCTACAGATACTGAATGAATAAATTGAATTGGCTACGTGCCCTGAGTTACCAATAGCAATAGGACTTAGACTTACCATATATCCCTGAAAATAATACCGGGTTTGATATTAATTTTGGTTCCAAAGGTTGCATTAGGGCTTATTTTCTGCTTAGGTCTTATTTTGGGGAAAATATGATATTAAATCTGTCCATCTGGCTGACAATCTTAACTGGGGCTTATTTTGGGGGGTAGGGCTTACATTACAAGCATCCTAAAAACCATGCTAGGGCTTGCTTTCCGGCTGGGTCTTATTTTTGTGGAAACGTGCTTTATAGTGTTTTACAGCCCTCTCTAAGAACCTCCAACAATCTGGGTCATTTTACTGACCTCGGGAAGGATGAAAGGCTGAGTCAACCTTGAGGCAGTCGGGATCGAACGCCTGGCAGTGGGCAGAGTTAGCCTGCAATGCTGCATTCTAACCACAACGATGCCACAGCTCTCGGTCTAATGGCCTAATCATGTTTTTCCTGGAAAGAGCCAAGCCAGCTTTCAGCCCCTTTGGGTGGAGTCCTTAGTGTCTCTGAACTGGGTTGTTTTCTTCAAGACTTTTATTACCAAACCAGATAACATCAGCACTGATGGTGTTGCCTAGTTGGGTTATGAAATGTTTGCAAGAAAACCGGTGATGTAGGATATTCTGTTGCGAGCAGTGTAGTACCCTTCTCGTGAAAGACTTCTGGACTTGCTCAATTGCATTAATGTCTGATATGCAGTGCAGATTCCAGACTAATGATCCGTATTCGAGTATTGGTCTGGCAAATGTTGTGTATGTCCTAGTTAGCAATTCACTATTTCCAGAGGAGAAACTTTGTAAGATTAGATTTACAACTCTTAATGCCTTTTTGGCAATGCTGTTACAGTGAGCTCTGGCACCTAGGTCATTTGATATGAGAACTCCAATTTCGGCACCAGTTAAACAAGTTATGACTAGAAAGTTCTGCCACCGCCAACGCTTGCATGCATACAACCACTATAATTCACATGTGTTTGGCTAATTTGTGGCTGTGTCACCTGTGCTGATGCCACTGAATGGTGTGTGGGCAGCTCTATTCCCCAAAGTAGCTAAAAATAGGTGAGGCTGGGGAAGAAACAAGGTGTATTTGATTCCATTCCTGTGCACTGAAAAATAAATTGAATTCATTTACTAATTCATTCACGTGGAGTATTAGTACCACTTTATAAAACTTTAGTGTGGCCGCGCTTGAAATATTACATCCAGTTTTGGTCACCATAATATAAAAAAAGATGTTGAGACTCTAGCAAGAGTGCAGAAAAGAGCAACCAAAATGATTAGGGGATTGGAGGCTGAAACACATAAGGAATGGTTGCTGGAATTGGGTAGGTCTACTTTAATGAAAAGAAGAACTAAGCATGATAGCAGTATAACAATATTTGAGGGGCTGCCCCAAAGAAGAGGGAGTCAAGCTATTCTCCAAAGCACCTGAAGGCAGAACAAGAAGCAATGGGTGGAAATTAATCCAGGAGAGAAGCAACCTGGAATTAAGGAGAAATTTCTTGACAATGAGCACAATTAACCAGTGGAACAGCTTGCCACCAGAAGTTGTGGGTGATCCATCACTGGAGGTTTTCAAGAAAAGACTGGTCAGCCACTTGTCTGGAACTATATACTCTCTCCTGCATGTGTAGGGAGTTGGACTAGATGACCTCAAAGGTCCCATCCAACTCTGTTGTTCTAGGTTTCTGTGTTCTACTCTTCGGTCATAGTTCATTTTGATATTGAAAATGTGTAATTTTCTCATTCGGATTTCATTTGGTCATCAATCTCCTGAGTGATGCAAATTGCATAGTTGCTTAATTGACCAGAAAAAAACAACAACCTCACACAACTTTTATGCTGGCGTTAGCAGCAAATGAAGGTTCTCGCTAATGATGATTACAGGAAGTGGCCAGCTTAAAACCCTTTGGTTGGGAAAGCAATTCCTCCTTGAATGCCAGCTATCAGGAAGGAAGTTTCTGCTGGCTCACAACTCCTGGAATAATTTTTATAATTATCAAACAGGTAAGGCTGAGAAAGACAAGGAAAAACAAAACAAAAAACGTTTCCACCGCTCTTTGATTTGGTATCATTTATTTTATCTTTCTTTTACAGCGTTATCTTCCCACCAAGGGAGCTAGAAACTTAAAAGCTTAGTGTTTGTATTTTAAAATCAGAAACAAAGACAATAAATTACATTAGGTCACCCACAAAGGGGCAAAGGTTGAGAAACCATTGTGCTTTCCGTAGGAATAATAATAACATCAATAGTTTTTAAAAAGGGAGATAAGGGATTCCACACACAAAAAAATGTTTTAATGGTCAGACGAAACAAAAGCTACATTCAAAGGAAACACACGTATTGTCCAATTAAAGCTGTTTGATAAGCGCAAAAATCCGTTTATAACATCCCTGCAAGGGAGAAAGGAACATGGATAAGAATCCATCCCTGGTTTTGTAGGTCCAGCTGCCTCCTCCTCCTCCTAGTTGGTTTGTTTTAAGTTACAGAGGGAGAGAAAAAAATTTCTTTCAAACTCCAGAATCAAGTATTGCTAGAACCAAACCCCAACTCAAACCCAATTCTGCTTAGCCAAGTTCATGTAGCCAGGATGGCAACGGAGAGGAATGAAAAGGAACAGCCACCCAAAGTTCTCAAAAAACAGATTCCTGCATCTAGAAAAAGATGCAGTAGAAAGGATCTTAATTCAACACAAACGCACGCACGCACACATAAACACATTTTCCCTTTCTTAGGACTGGCTTTTTAAGCCAGGGGGTGTCCAACATTGGCAACTTTTGAAGACTTGTGGACTTCAACTCCCCAGAATTCTCCAGCCAGCATGGGGAAGTCTGGGAGTTCAAGTCCCCAGGGTCTCAAAAGTTGCCAAGGTTAAACATCCCCACTCTAGGTTGTTCTTCTGCTTCGACATTCAGAAATGGCATTGGGTGTTGGAAGCTCACTTCACCTGCTTCAACAAAACCAGCAATTCATGAGGAAGCTCCTTGGCGAAGAATACTATAGGTTGAAGAGGTAGCCTGAGGGTTGGAGTGGAATTGAGCATCACAGCTCTCTTCTCACCTACTCTGAGCCGAACTACTTTAGGAATGTATGCTGCAAAACTCAGGCCGAGGCGCTCAGCCTAATCTTGACAGCTGGCTATCATGCCTGGACCAAGCCACTACGAAGGGCAAGACTAACTTGCTAAGTGGCATTTCTGACCTCTCAGGCTTGGCTTGTGAAAAACGAGAACCACGTTTCATCACGCCGTATGTTCCCCATGGAAAATGGGACACATTCTGAACTTGGCCTTCAGCCTGAATGCAAGTTGGGCAAGGTACTTTGGGTACCATTTCTTTCTCTCCTAAACCAACGGCCAATTAATTTTAAAGAGGAGCTTCCAAATGATTCATGCTTGCATCTTGGAAGACCCACTGGTTTTACTGTCTGGTTTCTCCAAGCTGAAGAGCAAAACTCCCACTACTGAGGCTCAACGGAGGCAGAATCAGACACACATCATTTTTCCTTACGCAGTTGCGCAGGGAGGGTGGCTTCCTTGTGACAAAGCTGATGCTAAAAAGTACCCGTACTCCATCCTGCTGCATAACTTAATTAGTCCATCAATTCTACTTCAATAGAAACTTCAGCTGGGAACAAAATCAGCAAACTTACATTCTCTTGCTTATCTTCAGATTTGCCAAGAATGCCACTTCAGGCTGCCTTCCCTTGTTAAGCTTCCCCCAGCCCCTCCAGCGTGGTGTTGTCTGGCACTGTTAAAAGGAGAACGTTTGACATCTCCAAGAATGGAGGTGGGAATTCTCCACGTTGTAACTCCAGCTGATTTGGGGTGGGGGAATGCCAGGAAAAGCCAGGCAACAATCTCCTCTGGAATCTCCTTGAATGGCAGTTGTGCAAATGGGCAGCATGAACTGCCACCGCTAAAATGCATAGAATTATAAGCTCTACAGAGCAGGCTGAGTTTTAAAAGCCTCCCCTTGTCTAGGTGCAAAACTCAAAAAAGAAAACTTAAAGAATCCCCCTCTTTGAAACGTTGCCCTGCCCACAGCAGCCCTGGATGCTTAAAATTTCCCCATCCTGTTTTTGTTATAGCAAAACATGAAGCCTTCTACCCCCCGCAAAAGAAAAAAAAAAAAAACTCCTTCTGGGCTGCACTAGGCCTACAAGAGGTTCCCTGTTGTGTTTACATCGATTTGCAGGTGTCTCTCCTATGGATATAGAGCTGCACCTTGATCCTGAGTTATGAAATAAAAATCGGCATGCCAAATAAACCGTGACGCAGGTGAGAGAGAGAATAAAACCCACCACTGGTCTCTCTGCATGAGTTCCTGCACGAGGAACACCTGAAGAAGGAATCGCACAGAGATGCAACGGGCAACCTCTCTGGGGAGGAGACGTGTTAGGCTGGGCCGAGTATTCCCCATAACACCCAATTCTGTTGGCTGCTCCTCTCCCTCCGCTGTGCACGATGTAATTATTAATCTTTAAACTTTTCCCTTTACGTAGGAAACATCTTTGCTTTATGAATCCCTTTAAGATTGATTAAACCTCACTCAGAATTGGATGAGGTTCTGGAGAAAACACACTTCTGCAATAAATGCAGTAAGTGCCTTAAACAAGGCGCCACAAGGTTCTTCATTATTTTAATTTTCTTCATTTCTAATTAAGTTCTTAATTGTCTAGAGGTTACTAGGTGACGCAGGTGAAATAATAGTTGGCATCTATTAGCACTGTTGTAGCATGATTACTCATACAGTATTATTAGCGTTCTTGTTCGTTTATGAGATGACAAGAGTAACAGGTAAGGTGTCTAAGAGGAGGGTAGGATGAGCAGGAAACAACTCTCTTGAAGTCAACTGGAAAGAACAGGGCAAAAACGAGATGGGAATAATTTAATACAGTTACATGATTTCCACGGCCGACCTTGCTTGAGCCCGACAAATTAAAACAGGGTCAAATCTGGTGATGCTGGGAAAAGGACACCACAAGGTAATAAGGCCAAGCTGCAAGTTAGACTGACAATTCTTTTTTAAAAATCCTGGAAAAAAAACAAAAAACCCGACGGGAACTCACTTCTATATCGTTGCCAAAAAAATAACACAGAAGTATTCATAAAGTCAGTGGGTGATCTAAATCCAACTAAAGATAAGAGTTTGGGTAGGGTAGGCAGCCATCTTGAACCTAATCCCCTCCAGATGTGTTTCATTACAAGTCCCATAACGCTCCGGTTGATATCACCCATTTATCTAGGGGTGAAAAGGAGCGAAGCCTGACAGATCCAGGGAGGTTCTCCGGTGGGATAGAGGCTGTCCTTGTGCCCAATAAAGGGGGTGTGGGGAGGAATTTAAAACTCCAGGAAGGTCAGAAGAAGCAAAATGAAAAGTGGGGGTGTCTTTTGTAAAAGAAAGCACAAGAATCTAAGACGGCAGAGACACAGGGATAGAAATGTTCAGCCGGGGTGCGCAAAACCATTCTGTTTTCTCCAGATCAGTTAACAAAATTTGAAAAGATATTTCTGAATGGTAACTGATTACGAGGGGAGGGATTGAATGAGCGTACATTCATAAGTGCTCTCCAGCCTTGAAGAGCTGACTTGCCAATTCAACATCTGGTTTTCAGGTATGCGACCTCTTTTGGAGGCCTGAGCATTCATACTCGCAGGTCTGGGAGTGCAGCATTGATGCCTCGGAGGCAACACCTGTTCCAATGAACGCATGAAACCGGCATTTTTGCCTTTTTGCTTTGATCCACTGATGGTGCTCAGTGTCTTGTTTACAAAAAGCGGTTTTCGAAGTTGTCCCCAAGTTGTTCCCCAAATCACACGCCAGTCTAGGTTGTAATTGTGATTATATCAAGGTATAATTGCACGATATTTGGCCGCTGAAAACGAACCCCCTGAGCTCCTATTTCGGATTCCAACCGGTGCAAAACAATTATTGTAAAAAAGCTGCAGAAAAACAAAGTGGATAACTTTCAATCTTTGGATAATGTAATAATCAAATAATTTCACTCAGTTGTCCTGTATCCCAATGAAACATGGTTTACTGGAGGTGCACAGCTAAACCCAGAGAACGTTGGATCCAAGTCAGGTTGAAAAATACATATAACAAAATGGAATTGATTGCTACGATTATAGCCAGGTGTTTGAATCCTCTCCAAAAAGACGATCCAATCATTTAGATCTGGAATGGCAGTCCTTTTTTTTTTTTTTTCCCCCAGCTGCAGTTCTCCCATGTTCCTATTTTTAATCTTGCCTTCAATTGGCAAACCCCAAACACTGCAAACTGATCCCACAAATCGACTGTGCCAAAAACTCACACAAATGCATACGGTACCTTTGAAACTGGAAATCTGAGACCGGCTATATAGAACTATAGCCCCGTTTCGAGTTGGCAAAAATGAACAGTACCTCTGGAGACAGAAAAGGGAGGGTCCATTCATTTAAATCTTCCCCAGTTTTGGTTTTTTTTTTTTTTTAAAAAAAGAAAATCAAAATGAGAATGATTAACCCAAAGGAAGACAATTCCCTGCAGGTAGAAAGTACGTCGAAGAAAAAAAATGTACCTCTGACCGACATTTATCTCGCCACGTTAAGTCTTCTATCTGCAGAAGCTTTTTAAAATAAAAACTTAGGGAGGCATCGATCTATACACCCAGATGCAACTTTCAATTGATTTCCTGCTGTCAAGTTATCCTATCCCTGATTGCGTTCAGGTCCCTTGAAGCAGAAGTCAAAAAGCTGGAACGAAAGGAGTCCCCAAGTTGAATCGGGAAAACCAACTTTCTCCTAAAACAGAAGGAGAAGGGACAGGCTCCACCAGCCTGGAAACTATGGGTAGTAGGTTCTTCCTTGCCAGGCACCTATCCCTGCTCTCAAATACCCTGATGGCTTGATTAAAGAGGGAGGGAGGAAAAAAAAAAAAGAGATAATCCCAAAACAACGAAGTCTTGGAACTCCCTGAGATGGGAAAAACGAACGTTGTCTTATCAAGAGATAAGATGGCTGGCATCTCCATAAGCCTGTATCTCCTCTGTGTCACCACACGCCTCTATGCCTCCTCTGTGCCACCTGAGGAAGGCAGAAAGAAAAACTGGGCACTCTGGGGGAAAAAAAAAAAGGCAGCTCCTTTGAGGTACCCCTGGCTTCGTGCCTTCCGCTCGGCTGAGTTAAAAACCAGCGCAGGGAAGAGAAAATCTGCTCGTCCTGCTAATCCAGCTCGCTTGGATGCAGACAGGAAAGAACGAAGAATTCTGCAGGTGACCCAGCACTCACCTTAGAATAGGTGGCTGGGCTGTTGCTTTCCAAGGCTGTCCTAGCTGGAAAATAAAAAAAAAATAAAAAAAACAGGGCAGGCGAGCCGGAAAGAGTGTGCCAAGAGAGCGCAGGTGGAAGCTGCTACCTGAGGTTGATGAGACGGCACAATCGAGGTCTTCGGCGAGCACTTCTTCATGTCTTTGGGAAAAGGGGGAAAAATAAAGCCAGCTGGACCGAAGGCCCAACCGCCCGGAAGGCCGGGGTCAGACCACGTTGTCAGAAGGATTGTGGTTCGTCTTTTGATTCTGCTGGCAGTTCTTTTCGTTCAAGAGGCCAATCATCTCGTTGCTGGAGAGGGGGCTCCCCTTGTCGGGCAAGGAGGGGTCCGGCTTGGGGGGGCTCCCATCGGGGGATTGGGGGCAGCTCTCCAGGCGGGAGGCCATGAGACCGTTTTGGTACTGGAGGCGTGTGATCTGTCGGAGAGGGGGAGAGAGAGAGAGAGAGAGAGAGAGAGAGAGAGCATGACTGAAATAACGATAATGGAAATGTGAAAACCAGTGACTGTTCATCCCAGTTTAGCAGTGTTGGAAGGGACCTTGTAGGTCATCTAGTCCAATGCCCACCCTCCCCCACCCCGTCCAAGCACACCCTACACCAGGGGGGTCAAACTCAAGGCTGGAAATAGGATAGGATAGGAATAGAATAGAATATTAGAATATAGAATGGAATGGAATGGAATGGAATGGAATGGAATGGAATAGAATAGAATAGAATAGAATAGAATAGAATAGAATAGAA